TATCACATATATGCAGACATTAGGGATTTTTAGATTCTTTTTATTTAAACGTGAAAGATTTTTTTAAAGAAAACTGCAGAAACTCCGGTGTTCTGTTTTTGAAAGAGTTTGAAAAAATCTTTCCTCAAATATATGATGGAATTTTAGAAGTCGTTTGTTTTCTTTTTGGAAGAATTTGCAAAAAATTGAGGAACCCTTGGTCTTTTACTTTTTAAAAGCGTTTGAAAGAGTATTATAGTCCCTTATATTTTTATTTTTTTATGAAAAAAATCTGGGGGTCCGCTGGTGTTTAATCTTTGAAAGAATCTTAAGAGTCCTTAATGTTTTTATTTTTGAAATATGTGGAAGAACATTGGTGGTCCTTGGATTCTTTTTTTAAACATGAAAGAATCTCCAGGTCCCTTAATGTGTTTTATTTTTGAAAGAAAATTAAAGAAATTCCGGAGATTCTCGGTATTTTGTTTTTGAAAGAGTTTGAAGGAATTTTGTGGGTACCTAGGATTTTTTTTTAAGAACATGACAGAACCTTCGGATTCCTTGTGTTTTATTCTTTTAAGAATTTAAAAAATCTCGGATAGCCCTAGTGATTTGTTTTTTCAAAAAAACAAAAGAATTTAGGTGTCCTCTAGTATTTTTCCTTAAATACATATATCAAGAAATTTTAGGAGCCATTTGTTTTTTTTTTTTTAAGAACTTGAAGAAAATCAGAAAGCCCTAGTATTTTACTTTAAAGGTCTTTGAAAGAGTGTTCCTTGTGTTCTAAAAAAATTTTTAAAAATCTCGAGGTCCCTAGTATCTTTTTTTAAGAATATCAAAAAATCTTCAAGTTTCTGGTTTTTATTTTTTAAGGAATTAAAAAAAAACCTCGGACACTCCTAGCTGTAGTTTTTGAAAGAGTTTGAAAAAATCTTGGTGTCTCCTGATATATTTTCCTTAAACATATGATATGTGTTTTCTTTTTTAAAGAATTTAAAAAGAACTCAAGAACGAACCCATGGTGTTTTATTTTCTAAAAATATTTGAAAAGAAGAATGTGTAAATATTTTGCTTTTATTGGTTCTTATTTTTGAAGAATTTGAAAAAACCCGAAGGCTGCTGGTGTTTGAAAGAGTTTGAAAGAATCTTAATGGTCTTTAATGTGTGTTTTTGAAAAAAAAATTAAAAGAAAATTGAAAAAACTCTGGAGACCCCTGGTGTTTTATTTTTGAAAGAGTTTGAAGTAGTTTTGTGGGTGGGTAATATCTTTTTTTAAGAATGTGAATAAATGTTCGGATTTGTGTGTTTTATTTTTTTAAAGAATTAAAAAAAAATCTCGGATACAGTAGTTATTAGTGATTTGATTTTGAAAGAGTTTGAAAGGTTCTTGGTGTCCCCTAGCGTATTTTCCTTAAATATATAAAGGAATTTTTAGCAGCCGTTTGAGTTTTCTTTTTAAAAGAATTTCAGGAACCCCTGGTGTTTTACTTATAAAAAGTATTTGAAAGAGTATTATGGTCCCCTAATTTATTTATTTGTTTTTTTTAAGAATGTAAAGGAATTTTTGCTGCCCTTTATTGTGTTTTATTTTTGAAGAATTTGAAAAAACCCGGAGTCCGCTGGTCTTTATTTTTAAAATATGTGGAAGAACATTAGGCACCCTTAGACCTTTTTGTAAACGTGAAAGAATCTTCAGGCCCCTATATGTATTTTAATTTTGAAAGAAAATTGAAAAACTTCCGGAGACCTTTGGTGTTTTGTTATTGAAAAAATTTGAAAGAATTTTGTGAATGCCTAGGGTATCTTTTAGAACGTGAAAGAATCTTCGGATTCCTTACGTTTTATTTTTTAAAGAATTTAAAAAACCTCGGATATCCCTAGTGATTTGTTTTTCAAAAAGTTGAAAAGAATTTTGGTATCCCCTAATGCATTTTCATTAAATACATATATGAATGAATTTTAGGAGCCGGTTTTTTTTGAAAGAATTTGAAAAAATTCAGAAACCCCTGGTGTTTTACTTTCAAAGTGGTAGAAAGAGTGTTGTGGTTCTCTAATTTTTTTTTTTTGACAATATGAAAGAATCTTTGCCGCCCTTAATTGTGTTTTACTACTGAACAACTGAAAAATGGAAACATCGAAATCTATTAATAGAGAAATCCAAAAATGGAAATATAAAAAATTTAATCATCGAAAAATTGAAAAAGCGAGAAATCGAAACACAAAAAACTTCAAAAACTGAAAGATCGAAAATTCCAAAATTTAAAAAATCAAAAAATTGAATAATCGAAAAAGTAAAAATCCAAAAATCGAAAAAACGGAAGGTCGAAATATCGAAAAACTCCAAAACTGGTAAATCGAAAACTCAAAAAATTTAAATATCGAAGAAAAATTGAAAAATCTCAAAACTGAAATATCTGAAAACTGAGAAATCCAAAGTTGAAAAATCGAGAAATTCAAAAGTCGAAAAAATTGAGAAATCTAAAAACTGTTACATAATTTTGTTTTTTTTTGCAAAAATCTCCATGTCTAGGATAAAATTTGACTTAGATTCGTAAACCAAAAGTTCAAGATTATGTTACTTTTTAACATTTAAATAACATTTGTTAAACAAAATTCTAAGATTTCAAAACATTCGACGTTGCAATTTCAAAGTTAAATAGTAAAATGTTATCAAATTAAAAAGTATTGACAAATAAATCAAAATTATTGAGCAGAACAAAAATTATAACAATAATACAACAAAATTTGTAGTGCAAAGATAATATTGATGAAAAAAACCTTGACTAAAGTAAAACAAAATTGTTGAGATATTAATAAGTTGATTATTTATTTATCCACAGAATATCACTATCTAAATAAGCACCAGTGCTATTAAACCATTGTATCTAATAAGAATTTACAAATAAAAATATACAGAAGAATTTGAAATCCGCTGGTGTTTAGTCTTTGAAAGAATTTGACAGAATCTTAAGGGTTCTTAATGTCTTTATTTTTCAAATATATATGTGAGAAAACATTAAGGTTTCCTAAATTCGTTTTTTTTTTTAACGTGAAAGAATCTTTCGGTCCCTTACTGATTTATTTTTTAAAGAATTTGAAGAAATTTTGAAGGACACTTTTTCGGTGTGCTGTTTTTAAATGAATTTCAAGAAATTTTGGGGACATCTAGTGTCTTTTTTTAAGAATACGAAAGAATATTCGGATTCCTTGTGCTTTATTTTTGAAAGAATTAAAAAAAAAAAAATAGTGCCCCATAGCGTATTTTTCTTAAATATATGAAAGAATTTTAGTAGCCGCTTGTATTTTCTTTTTGAAGAAATTTTAAAATATGTTAGGAACACCTGGTGTTTCACTTTTTGAAGGTATTTGAAAAATTTGTGGTTCTCTGATGTTTTTTTTTTAAGAATATTGACGAAATTTTGGTGCCCTTTATTGTTTTATTTTCGAAAAAATTTAAAAATCTAGGGGTCCGCTGGTGTTTAGTTTTTGAAAAAAATTTACAGAATCTTAAGGGTCCTTAATGTCTTTATGATTCAAATATATATGTGAGAAAACGTTAAAGATTCCTAAACTCTTTTTTTTTAACGTGAAAGAATCTTTCGGTCCCTTACTGATTTATTTTTGAAAGAATTTGAAGAAATTTTGAAGAACACTTTTTTGGTGTGCTGTTTTTAAATGAGTTTCAAGAAATTTTGGGGCATCTATTGTCTTTTTTTAAGAATATGAAAGAATATTCGGATTCCTTGTGTTTTATTTTTTAAAGAATAAAAAAAAATAGTGTTCCATAGCGTATTTTTCTTAAATATATGAAAGAATTTTAAGAGCCGTTTGCTTTTCTTTTTGAAAAAAATTTGAAAATATGTATTTCAGGAACACCTGGTGTTTCACTTTTTGAAGGTATTTGAAAGAATTGTGGTTCTCTGATGTTTTTTTTTAAGAATGTGGAAAAAAATTTGGTGCCCTTTATTCTGTTTTATTTTCGAAAAAATTTAAAAAATCTAGGGGTCCGTTGATGTTTAGATTCTGAAAAAATTTGAAAGAATCTTAAGGGTCTTTAATGTCTTTATTTTTCAAATAAAAATGTAGAAAAACATTAGGGATTCCTAGACTCTCCTTTTTTAAGAAGGTGAAAAATATTGCGGGCCCCTTAATCCTTTTTATTTTACAAAGAATTAAAAAAAATCTCGGATGCCCTCAATGATTTGTTTGAAAAAGTTTGAAAGAATCGTATTAAGGGTCCCTAGTGTCTTTATTTTCAGGCTTTTATGTTCAGGCTCCTTATTGTGTTCAATTTTCTAAAGAAAGTGAAAGAATCTTAAGAGCGCCTAGTACCCTTTTTTAAGAATATGAAACAATCTTGGGGACCAATAATGTTAGTAGAAGATTTTTGTGCAACTCTTCATGTATTATCAAGAACAAAGTAAGAAAAAGAATGGCCAATTTCTACTAAAAAAAATATGTGTGAAAAATATCTTGGACGCTTATTTTAGTCAAAAATCAAAAACTCTGAAATGTTCATTAATCTGTTATTCATAGTCAGATCAACGTTACTTGTAAAAATACGATACGGTTTTAAAAGCAGATGAGCTTTTTAACGATTTTCTTTGTGGGTTGCTTTGTGTATAGTATAAATCAGAGCTTACAATAAATATTTCTCGTTGAAAAAGTAATGTGTAAATGTGACATTTAACATCCGTTTCCCGAACGCACCCCTCACTTCAATTTTTCACCTGGTAATTCGCCCGCTAATTTCAATAAAACCCCACAACGTACTTCTTCGCAAAAAAAAACACAAAAACATCCAACATTTCGTTCAAAAACCCCCCAAATGCACCCGCTCCCTGCACCATATTGGGAAAACCAATACAATTTCACGGCAAATTTGCATTATTATTTATGAGGTCGAATAGAGGCCGGCGGCAATAAATTGAGTCTCTCGGCACAGAGTCGGCTTATAGCCCGTGCTTTTACCACGCCAAACTATTTGCCTATGCAGCAAAAGGTAAACAAGGCAGAACACTCACGTGAACCAGACGCCCACAACACGGCGCAGATCCAATTAAGCTAGTTGTGTAGTGCACTGGATAACGCGTTGCTGCCTCCTACAACACACAGAGAACGCCGTTAGAAAGAAAAAATTGCCAACTTGCCTGTTCCGCAGACCCTCGGGGATGAGCGTTTATGAATTCCGGACTCAAGTGACCCACTTTTCGACTGATATTTTAAACATGCACCGATCTGTTAGAGCGCTCCCGGGAGCCCCCCGACTCGCAAAGTTCGAACAAGAGCGATCGCGCTCGATTGATCATGATCGATGAGCTTGTCCTTGCTTAAATAAAGTAAGTTGGCGGGAAGTTTGGGGGCGGTGCGTTTGTCTTTAATGGGTGAAGAGGGCTTGCAGCGGGAACCACCGGAGGGATGCATAATTAAGAGATTGCTCGAGTGGAAACGGCGCCGTGTCGATAGCTCGTGGTTGAAGATAAAATGATGTTTGACTTGTTCAGATAATATTTTTATGGCTGATTTCAATTGATTCGAGCGAAATAAAAAAATACATATTTCTGAAAGAAAATATTTCCCTCATTTCCAGTCTGTGATGATTATCATTTTGAGCTCTTAATGGATAGTGTGAATTTACTTTAGTTCTTAAATTAGCAAAGTCAAAAACTAGAACATGAAGGTGATTAGGAGGAAATGGAGGAGGAATGGTAACCATGATGAGGATTTGGGGCCAAGTCGCATCCAAATGGGGTTATTTCTTATTTGGCTCATTCTTTTAGATCTTAATATGTGATGATTTAAGATTTTTGGCTTCCTAGACGATATTTTATTAACTTAAAGAAGATTCTTTTCTAATACTCAAACAATACCAAATATATTATTCAAATAAAGTTGTTTATTCCAAACGAATAAATCTGCCAGAATAACTCTTCATTATGTTAACAGGATTTCAGGGAAATAACGTGTTGCTTCAGGTTAAATAAATAGTTTTCTCGATGCAATGTTTCACATGGGTTTTATAACACGACAAAAGTGGATTATAAACTTCCTTTGCATAATTAATGTTGCGTTAATTGAATATACAAATTCCGTTTCTTCGTATCGTACAGCATTTTTCCAAAACTATTATTTTACTTTTTATTAAATTTTTATGTTGCAACGTCGACGTTATATACCTTGAGAAATATGGAAAAATATAGAATTTTGGAAATATTTTGAAAATGATGAAAAAAATTCACTCAAAATCGTCTATAAATCTCCACAAAAAATGTAATTACTACGTAAATTCCGTCTAAATTGTCCACAGTAACATTCTTTAAGAATTATGATTTATTAGTCCCGTGTTATTTTTAACCTTGTGCATACACATTTTTGAAAAAAAATTAAAACCTGTATAACGAAGTCTTACAATATATCTTAGAAACTACAAGACCGATTACTAAGTAAATTCCATCTAAATTGTACAATAACATTATTTAAGGATTATGATTTATTAGTCCAATGTTATTTTCAACCTTGAGCTTATATATTTTTGAAAAAAACAAAATTCAAAATTGTATAACGAAATTTCACAATATATCTTAAAAACTAAAAGACCGATTACTTTACAATTCTGTACATTCTTTAAGCTTATCGTGAAGATGGTAGATCTCTAATGAGAATGTATCTGTTCATTCCTTCCAAAAACTTCATGACCTCATCTCAAAATATTGCGAAGTCGATCTTATTTGAAATATTGATTACTGTATATTTTTTAAAATGAAGACAGCTATAATTTTCTCAATTTTTTAAATCACTTTGATGTGATAACGGCTCGACTTTATATATCTTGAGGAATATGGAAAAGTATCGATTGGTGCGAAATTTTGAAAATATTTTAAGAATGAGTTGTAGATGGTAAAACATGAACTAAAAATTATTTTTGGATCTCAAAAAAAAATGTAATTACTAAGTAAATTCCGTCTAAATTATCCACAAAAACATTCTTGAAGAACTATGGTTTATTACTCCAGAGTTAAGTATAACCTTGAGCTTATACATTTTTGAAAAAATTCGAAACCGTCTAATGAAATTTTACAATATATATCTGAGAAATTACAAGACCGATTACTTTACAAATCTGTGCATCCTTTAAGATTATCGTAAACATGGTAAATCGCTAATAAAGATTTATCTGTTTATCCCTTCAAAAAACTTCATGACGTAATCTCAAAACTTTGCAAAGTCGATCTTATTTGAAATATTTATTACTGCATATTTAAAAATGAAGACCGCTATAATTTTCTCAAATTTTTAAATCACTTTGATGTGATAACGGCTCGACTTTATATATATTGAGGAATATGGAAAAGTATAGATTGGTGGGAAATTTTGAAAATATTTTAAGAAAGACTTGTAGATGGTAAAACATGAACTAAAAATTATTTTTGGGTCTCAAAAAAAAATGTAATTACTAAGTAAATTCCGTGTAAATTATCCACAAAAACATTCTTGAAGAACTATGATTTATTACTCCAGAGTTAAGTATAACCTTGAGCTTATACATTTTTGAAAAAATTCGAAACCGTCTAATGAAATTTTACAATATATATATTAGAAATTACAAGACCGATTATTTTACAAATCTGTGCACCCAGTAAGATTATCGTAAACATGGTAAATCGCTAATAAAGATTTATCTGTGTATCCCTTTCAAAAACTTCATGACGTCATATCAAAATTTTGCGAAATCGATCTTATTTGAAATAATTATTTCTGTGTATTTAAAAATGAAGACAGCTATAATTTTCCCAATTTTTTAAATCACTTTGATATGATGAGGGCTCGACTTTATATATCTTGAGGAATATGGAAAAGTATAGATTGGTGTGAAATTTTGAAAATATTTTAAGAATGACTTGTAGATGGTAAAACATGAACTAAAAATTATTTTTGGATCTACAAAAAAAAAATGTAATTACTATGTAAATTTCGTCTAAATTATCCACAAAAACATTCTTAAAGAACTATGATTTTTTAGTCCAGAGTTATTTTTAACCTTGAGCTTATACATTTTTGGAAAAAAATTCAAAACGGTCTAATGAAATCTTACAATATATCTTAAAAATTACAAGACCGATTACTTTATAAATCTGTACACCCTTCAAGATTATCGTGAACGTGGTAAATTGATAATAATGATTTATCTGTTTATCCCTTTCAAAAACTTCATGATGTCATCTCAAAATATTGCGAAGTCGATCTTATTTGAAATAATTATTACTGTGTATTTAAAAATGAAGACAGTATAATTTTCCCACTTTTTTAAATCACTTTGATATGATAAGGGCTCGACTTTATATATCTTGAGGAATATGGAAAAGTATAAATTGGTGCGAAATTTTGAAAATATTTTAAGAAAGACTTGTAGATGGTAAAACATGAACTAAAAATTATTTTTGGATCTCAAAAAAAAAAAAATGTAATTACTAAGTAAATTCCGTCTAAATTATCCACAAAAACATTCTTGAAGAACTATGATTTATTACTCCAGAGTTAAGTATAACCTTGAGCTTATACATTTTTGAAAAAATTCGAAACCGTCTTAATGAAATTTTACAATATATATCTTAGAAATTACAAGACCGATTACTTTATAAATCTGTGCACCCTTTAAGATTATCGTAAACATGGTAAATCGCTAATAAAGATTTATCTGTTTATTCCTTCAAAAAACTTCATGACGTAATCTCAAAACTTTGCAAAGTCGATCTTATTTGAAATATTTATCACTGCATATTTAAAAATGATGTACCTTGTGGAATATGGAAAAATATAGAATTCTATGAAATTTTGGAAATATTTTAGGAATGTCTTGTAGATGATCGAAAATGAACTCAAAATTATCTATAGATCTCCACAAAAACTTTAATTACTAACCAAATTCCATCTAAATTGTCTACAATGACATTCTTTATAAATTATGATTTATTAGTCCAGTGTTATTTTTAACCTTGAGCTTATACATGTTTGAGAAAAAAAATCAAAACTGTAAACCGAAATCGTACAATATAACTTAGAAACTACAAGACCGAATACTTTACAATTTTGTACACCCTTTAAGGTTACCGTGAACATGGTAGGTAAACCTCTAATGACAATTTATCTGTTCATCCCTTTCAAAAACTTCATGGCGTCATCTCAAAACATTACGAAGTCGATCTTATTTGAAATATTTATTACTATATTTTTAGAAATGAACACCGCTATAGCTTACTCAATTTTTAAATAATTTTGATTTTGAAACAGATCGACCTTATGAACCTTCTGGAATATGGAAAAATATAGATTTCTGTGAAATTTTGGAAATACATTAAGAATGACTTGTAGATGGTCAAAAATGAACTCAAAATTGTGTATAGATTTCCACAAAAACTGTAATTACTAACTAAATTCCATCTAAATTGTCTACAATGACATTCTTAGGAATTATGATTTATTAGTCCAGTGTTATTTTGAACCTTGAGCTTATACATTTTTGGGAAAAAAAACTCAGAACTGTATAACGAAATCTTACAATATAACTTTGAAACTACAAGATCGGTTACTTTACAATTCTGTACACCCTTTAAGGTTATCGTGAACATGGTAGGTAAACCTCTAATGACAATTTATCTGTTCATCCCTTTCAAAACCTTCATGGCGTCATCTCAAAACATTGCGAAGTCGATCTTATTTGAAATATTTATTACTATATTTTTAGAAATGAAGACCGCTATAGCTTTCTCAATTTTTAAATAATTTTGATTTTGAAACAGATCCACCTTATGAACCTTGTGGAATAAGGAAAAATATAGATTTCTGTGATATTTTGGAAATACATTAAGAATGACTTGTTGATGGTCAAAAATGAACTCAAAATTGTGTATAGATTTCCACAAAAACTGTAATTACTAAATTCAGTCTAAATTGTCTACAATGACAGTCTTAGGAATTATGATTTATTAGTCCAGTGTTATTTTTAACCTTGAGCTTATACATTTTTGGGAAAAAAAAACTCAGAACTGTATAACGAAATCTTACAATATAACTTTTAAACTACAAGATCGGTTACTTTACAATT